CATTAACATAGATATATTATTTACATAGATATAATTTATTAACATTGATTTATTTTATTAACATAGATTATCTACAGGGGAATCTCTTCAGTGGAAGATACCTCTTAATGTCATACTTAATGAATCACATAGACTCATAGAAATTGTATTTCTGATTGTCTATAATGAATAAAGAAAAAAAAAAAAAATTCAAATCAAAGCCTATGCCACTAACTACAACTCAACAAAGGCTGTTCGAGGCGGGTATCAAACTTGGAGCATCTCAAGAAGTAACGTTTAAAAACTACCGAAACACTGTCATTCTAAATCGTTATTTTTGGTAAATTTGTCGATATATTTTGTGAAGTATGAGCGGCTAGTGTCAATAACAATGATACTGACATGTGTTGTTTTTAGTGCAATAATTTGTTTCATCTTCAAAGAAAATAGGCGTAAACTCGATTTTTTTGCTATTATCTAAATTACAATATGTCACACTTAGGACATTCAGTAACTGTTTTGACTTTTTTATTATATGGATCTTGAATGGATGACAACCCAGTAGTTATCCAGTCGAGTTATAGTATTTGCTGACATTTTTATTATATATGCAACTATACCGACGAGAGGCGATTTTCACTTGAAGCTATATTTGAGATCTATAGCCTCAAGTGATCATCAAAGTTGCCTGATGTTAGGCTATGGCGGTAGCAGGAATCGAACCAGAGAACCCGGGACTAGTTGGTGCAAGCCCGTGTCCTAACCGATATCGATACCGCTGGCCCGAACTCAAAATAATGTTATATTTTGACAATGGACCAGCGGTGGCGAAATCGGTTAGAGCGTGGGCCAGCACCAACCAGACCCAGGTTCGCTGGTTGGATTCCCGCTACCGCCAAGCCTGACATCAGGCAACTTTGATGTCAAATTTCCACTTGGGGTTATAGATCACAATATAATTCCAAGTGGAAATCGTCCTTCGTGGACATAGTTGCATCATACAATCATATGCACACTATTAGACATAAGAGCTAATAAATAAACTCCACACATAGAAGAAGGGTGAACCGATGCGTTGCTTCTCATGTTAATATCTTAGGTCATAAGTCATACACAAAAACAGCTTATAGAACAATAATGAAGAGTTCTGATTGCTGTGGAAACAATAAAAAAAATATTTTGACAATTGTGACTTGTGGAGGTTAGGTTGTAGCATCGAAATTGTGAAAAACGCTCGAATAAACCGACAGCTTAAAGGTTTGACCGTTGGACTAACAACTTATGCAACTTCTCAACATAAGTTACCGGTAACATAATACAGCTAATTTATCCGATAATTGGACCGTAACTGAAAAACACCTTATTTTGCGCTTATTTTCTCATATTTTAACAGCGATCAGACCCTTGCTTTTTATAAGCTGTTGGGTTGATACTTCTACTTACGTCGTACTTTTAGAAAGTATCCCAAAGGTTTATCTATCAATATTATATAGTCGATTATTTTGTTTTTAGAATACGGCTGACTTATTATTCATTTTGATGGAATGCTTAGAAAAAACTCTTTGCAAAGTGAAAATTGATATCGCTACTGCTCGATACCAGGGTTGTCCATTACTGGAATTGAAACCGTCGGGCGCAGTGTATCTGACAGATACAGGTTTTAAGTATATTCACAGGAGGCTCATGGTTTTATTTACTTCTAACTAATTAGTATTTTTACAATGCTGAATCTGTATTTTATGAGTAAATAAAAACAAAATATGTATTAGAGCAATATTATTTTTATAATATAGCAAAATATAAATATTCGTACATGCGCTCAGAATGCTTGACGCACAAACCTGTATCTGTCAGATCGGCTGCGCCCGACGGAGGGTTAAAGACGTTCAACGATATTTTTGGATTATTTCAAAATGCGATAACAATAATAATAAAAAAAGCTGGAAAATGTTTGTGTAGTATTATCAAATGCGATGTTTTTATATCTACTGAACTCATCCGGTTTAGTAATAGTATACCATAACATTTACTATATAAATATAATATTAACAATACAATTGCAATATCGAAGATTCAAGGAAACGCTTCGACTTGAATTGCTCCATTGGGTTTGTTGACCTTGGTCGAAGACACAAGTCTCGACACGAGCTGCGCTTATATGCAATTTTAACCCCGTGGTAAACCGATTATCGACATATTGTTAATATTTATGAATATAAAATGTATAATATTATTATCTTCGACCTATACGAAACCTGCTGTAGCGCGATCATTATCGAAGTTACGTTTATGACTATGTCTAGGGAATGAACTATCATGATCATACATATATGAGAATGATAGCTGGAAAAATTTATTCAAAACTAGCCGGCCCGACAGACTGCGTCCTGTCAAAAAAAAATTGTAATGTGGCGGTGTTTTGTGCCTACCTTTTTTCTATTCTTTGCAAAAAATTATCCTGAACAGAACCGTCACCCTGGTAATGATTCGGTGTGAATTAAAAATAATCAAATAAAACACTATAAGCATTTAAAAGTAAGTAATTTTAATAATGTAAATCATTATTCAAAAGTCAGTTCAATTTTTATTGTAGTGCTTTGTGATAAACGATGTTTTTTGTTTGATTACCTGGCGCATAGACAAACAAATTTGATGGTTTTCCAATACGGAAACAAACAACATACAATTTTCCATGTGAGAAACATGTGTTTTTCAAATTAATACCACAAACACTTAATGATACCATAAACGCACTGGAAACTGTAGTCGTTTAATCTCAAATGGCACATCAGTCGGAATCATTGGGTTGCACGGTGCGAGAACATCTTCTGCTTTATACTATCCTTTCAATATAGTTGCTTCCATCACGTTGTTTGGTAGTTTTTTTATCGCTAACCTTGTGCCGTTGCAAAGGCGCGGTTGGTCGATATTTCGCAACATTATAATTGCCGATCCAACCTTTAATTGAAGATTGTGAGGTGACAATCCTAGCAAATCCAGCGAGTTTAAAAACTCCGGTGGATCGTCTTGGTTAGTTGCCGAATCAACTGATTCGCCTGTAATTTGTTCTTGAATTTTGAAATTTAATTAATTTACATCAATGTTTTTAGCAAATTGATATAGCTTGATTAATAGAAAGATATTTCTATGTTTATATAAATATATTCAAAATTAGATTATCAAAAACTACACAAAATGTCATGACATAGATCATTGTTTTTTTTACAAAATGCGTTGGTTGGATACTCGATTAAAGAAGAAAAGGGCTGTTTTTAGGGTTTTCCCGGCAATTATTCGTTTTTTTCTCGCCGTAACAACCATTCTTGGACTACAACGAACATTTTAAAAAAAGAATTGGCCAAATTGGTCCAGGCGTTGTTGAGTTATGCGCTTACCAACACATTTTGCGATCCATTTTTATATATAAGATAAAAATTTATGAAGAAACATTACAAAATAACCTTACTGTAATCGTATCAAGGCTTGACCTGCTTTTTATTTCTGAAAAGCTCATTAAATATTGATGATTTTAGTGATAGTTATTTGTTATCTATAAAATAAGTTGTCATAAGAACTTTCTTAGATATATACAAACTAATGGGCCAATTCTCGGTTTCACATCTTAAAGCAATATCGCATTTATTCATTGAAAATTTTATTAACACTATAGAAATTAAATATATATTATTTTATATGGCAACATGGCTATAACAAAGCAGTTCAGAATAAGAGCTATTCTTAGCCATGTACTTTTCAATAGCACAGGCGAGAAGTCAAACTAATGTTATTTTGACATTTGCACTATTTGAATGTTAAGATTTAGCACCTGAGTGTATCAAAAATATGTTTCGATAGTTTCGAGACTTACGAACATATTGACAGCCAACATCAAGAAAACATAACATATCAAAATAAAATAAGTGCACCGAGAATATCAAATCTTTAACGTACGCTTATTTGTTACATGTTACCATGGGCAGCGAGACTGGTAACAATACATAGTTATTTTATTCAAAAATTGCCCATTAATGTACATAGCCGTTTGGCATTTACATAAGTAAAAAATTTGGAGTCAAACGATTGAGAAGCACTTGAATCGTCGAGCAAGCATGAATCTGGAGTTTCGGATTTTCTGGCGATAACAAACTTCTTAACTTATAACTTGTTAACTTAAGGTGAACAAATAAATATAAATACATGAATAAATACATATATAATTTTTTCTCTAGTAGTTTTTTCGAACAGAACTGTCGCATTTATTATGTTTTTTATCAAATACAATTAAATTCGAAGATTTCTGTAAAAATTATTTCCTATTTTTTCGCATTCAAAATTTATGACCAAGGCTCAAAATATTAACTTAAAATGAAGGCGTTTGAGTTGTAAAATTTGTATGTTAATTATTAAATATTAAAACAAAATTATTTTTTAATTTTGAAAGCATCCGTTTCTGTGATTAAACTATCTATGTATTTATTATGTATATTATAATTTATATTATTATAGAAGACTATTGCCAGTAAATAATATATGTACTGAAAATATGAAATGAAACAAATGTCGTTAAATATTTTCGACTAGAGCGTAAATATACTGTTACTGTGTAAAATGTTGTCCTGCACTGATACTTGACTAGTTATTTATTTGTTGAAAATATATTAACAAAATAATCTATCTAATAACATGTAATTTATTAAATCAAAATATATTTTATTAATAGTAATCATTTCAATGTTTATTATAAAAAACTACATGCGCTTTTTCTAAGATTTTCTTTGGAATATTTTATGTAATAGTTAATACAATAATTAATACAAACATTAAGAGGATAGTTTTTAGTTATTCTTTTGAAGATTATTCATATGTACCGATAATTTTTTTTAAGATTGTCTTATAAATGAATGTTGTCTTTAGTTATTTAAATTATACGTCATACAAAATATTACTTTCGACACAAAATTATCTGAAAGTAAACAATAGCAGCATTCAAGATATCAAATTCATTGTATTCAGCTTTATTATATAAATTTTTATTTATAAATGTGTGCACATTTAAATTACATGAATGATTAAAATTACATAAATGAACACATTTTCAAAAGTTTAATTTAATGGATTTGCGTATATGTTCACAATTTTATTAACAAAAATAACATTGATGATCATATGAAATAAAATAGCACCTTTAAAAGATTGCAAAAGTTGCCTTAGCCCAAAGCCGCTGTTAAAACATTACGGTTAACGACACCATTGTAGTCTGTGTACTTCGATGACAGGCCGGCAAGAGCGATGAATTGTTCAGCGACCTCAACCGCGACTCTCACTTGGGCCTCCGAGGTACTTGCGCCAAGATGTGGTGTGGCGATTACCTTAGGATGAGCAATCAAGCGTTTAGTGACATCATCCTTTGGCGGCTCTTCACGGTACACATCAAACGCAGCCCCACCACATTGGCCAGATTCCAGAGCTTTCAATACGGCCTCTTCGTCTATGATTCCACCGCGAGCGACATTTATGACTTTCACGCCGCGCTTGCATTTTGCAAGTACTTCGGCGTTCACCAAGTTCTTGGTTGCCGGTATTAATGGAGTGTGCACTGTTATGTAATCAGCCAAAGGCCAAATCTCGTTTAACTCCATCTTAGTAACACCGGCTGATTCGGCTTGCTCTTTTGTAGTAATTGGATCGAATCCGATTACAGTCATACCCCAGACTTTCATACGCCTTGCAACTTCCAATCCAATCCTCCCCAAACCTAAAACGGCCAGCGTTTTACCATACAATTCATTTCCTGAATAGATTTTTCTATCCCAACGTCCAGCTACCATAGACGCACCGGCGGGCACTACATGACGTGCGAGACACCCCATCAACGTACACGTTAGTTCGCAGGCGCTGATTGAATTACCCCCTGGTGTATTAAGCACGATGATATTTCGTTCGCTTGCTGCAGGTATATCGATGTTATCCACGCCGGCTCCGGCTCTGCCGACCACCTTGAGATTAGTAGCTGCAGCTATTACTTCGCGTGTTACTTTCGTATCGGAGCGAACAATCAATCCGTCATGAGCAGGGATCTCCTGCAGAAGCTCCGCAGGCGTCATTCCTGTTCGACATTTCACTTCGACGCCATGTTGCTTTAGTAATTCCACACATGCTGCATCGACAGCGTCGCTAACTAACACTTTTTTGATTTTTAAAGGCATTTTTTGCAAATTTTTATTTTTGCGAATTTTAACAAACGGTTTAACAAATATAAGAACTGGGTCGATTGTGAATGAATGTGTTCGCAAACCAAAAGCCAGACATGCACTGACTGCGCTGTGCACTTCGTTTGATAAGTTGAATGTCTTGTTGACCTTGGAACGAGTATGAGCATTGGTAGACCATTTTGTGTTGTGAATCTGCATGAGTTATTATCTATTTAGATATCTTATCGAAAACCACTCATGATTTGGAATTTAATCTTGTCTTAAAAATTTAAATAAGAAATAGCTTTGCTCAACTCTTCAAGAAAACTGCAAGTACACTTTCGATAAATTGATTAGACATTCTATCTTGACGACTTAGTATTCAGGATATTTCGAAATTCGAAATATGAATATATGAATAACTAGTGGTGTATGGCATGGTGCTTTAAGGCAAATTGCAGGAACTTCCCGTACCATAACAAAATATTCGAAGGATATTAAATGTTCTCAAATAGATTATTATAAATAAAACTGTAACATTGTCTAATATTTATGAGAATTATATAAACTGAATTGCAAAGTTAAAATTATTTATTTAAAGTATATAAGTGAGATTTAGAACTTTAGCCAGATATAAAATTAAACTCTGAATTATGCTCGATATACAAAAAAAAATTCTTTGAAAAAAATTTTTTTTTCCGAAAGCAATTGTTTCAAGCAAAAAGTTTTTTGAATCATTCAAATCGGATGCTAAGTTCTCTCTAAAACTGCCATACGGAAAGTTAAAAATAAAGTGTAAATTGAAAGCAAATGATTAATTTTGAAATTGAAACATTATATTTATTAATAAACAATGCACGCCTATGAAAATTTCTGCACCGCATATTCATAACAAGTTTATTTAAATTAATTCTAGCATCACTGAATCTCGTAGAGAATATCCAATGGCACGATTTATTGATCTTGCAGTAGTTGCACTCAATATTGAAAATTGTCGTAAAATTCAGAAGTTTTATTTTTTTTATTATCTCTTTTATTTACAACTGTCCAGTAAAAAACATTCAATAAACTTGATGAATGTACAGTAATCGGCCGAAAAGGGACATTGTATACTACAAGGCCATGTTTAAGAAGTTTTAATTTGGCTGGATTCCTGAAAATATTGAATCTTTTAACAATATTTAGAGACAGAAATCAGAATCAATGTGATCATTTGTATTCGAAGAAAAAAACTGCTAACAATGTTTTCTGAAATTCAAAGTGTTTGTACTTATTTGCAAAATAATCCGAAAAAAAATAAAAATCTTTCAATTGATGTAAGATTGAAGTGATTGCTTAACGAGTTCCAAGCCTTGTTTGTTAGGTTTAGTTTTATTAGATCTAGTTTTATTAGATATGTGACAGTTAAAAAATATTTTTTGCATTAATGTCATGGTTAAATTATTGTCATATTTTGTCCTGTCAAAAAAACAAAAATTATTATAAAACACTGATAAATTTTAATTTTGAATAAATTATAAACATGAGTACTGCAGAAACATTATAAATAATCTCCATTATAAAATAAATTTTATAACTAACTAATATAAGTATACTATATATTGAATTATATTTATAAATAATTTAAATCATTAAGAACATATTGCTAAAGTGGGTGTTAACCTGACATCGTGCAGTAGTGATGTCCATTTTAAATAAAAACCAAAAATATGTTTCCAATTGAAACTAGCCCATTTCGGGCACTGCGTTGTGAAATGGCAATGGGAAATCTTTCTCACTGTTCTTTCCTGAATCAAATTGTAATTTAACTCAGTTCTTGGACGTGACCTAGGGCAGTACTACTCATTACCCAATATTTATTATTATATTATGAATGATACAGAGATTAGAATTTTAGCATCGTATTGTTGATTTTAATTTAGAATTAAAATACGTATTATTTGCAAATTATTACAAGTGCCATTTAGGACGTATAATTAATTTTATAAAGATTACAGTTTAATTAAGAATCAACCTTATGATTTGAGAACTATTTTTGATTACTATAAAATATTATATTAAACAATGTTATATGCGGAATAGCGTGGCAAACCAAATTGTGGGATATCCAGCGATTGGTATAATATTAATATAAGCACGAAAATAAATTTTGACTACTCTTGGCCCAAAAATTACTTTCGAATGTGCGTTATTAAATTCCTCGATATATTTACAAAAGGTGAGATCAATTCATCATAATATCTGTGACCTATTCCATAATACAACAAAATACGCATTCGTGCATATTTCATGCTCATGTTAGACATCCTTGGCATTTACGGCGCCAAAGACCGGGTGCGGCAAACCTTTTGCTGGACCCTCGGAAGAGATCTGGAGTGAAGGTGCACGATGTATTAATTCCAATCAAGGACGGTTGTGATAATTCTTTGCGAATTGTTATACGCGCCTTTATCGGTAGTTTGAAATGCGTTCCACATAGTGAAGAATGTTGCATCTAGATTATTCGAATTAGTCTCTGGCACCTGACGCAGTTGTTTCATAAATGCATATTTTTAAAATGTACATGCTGATTGTTGATGTAATGTGATACAAAACCTTCGATACCGCTAAAAAAAACTTGGATATTTAAGAACAAATGCTCAGAAAATGAGATGGAGTTCTATTTTTGCATGCAAATAAGTACAAGAAATCGTGAACTTTTATTGGGGGCCGAGGACATATAACTTAGACACTAATAATAATGATTAAATATAGAAATTTATAGCAAAAATGGTATGATGTAGTAAATATGAATTGTCAGCCCCAATATGAATAGAAAAATTGCGCTTTGTGCACTTGTTAGTGGTATATTATTTAGAGAAATGAGATATGTTAATGCTATAATTTAGAAATGAGACATGAAATGACTATAGATAATTTTCAAGACTATCACGAATTAATTATGGATTTTAAACTTATTGCACGTCGTATTTTTTACAATCAAGTGCTTTTCTTCTGTGGTATCCATTATTGTGGTAATATATATGTGGGATCAAAGTAGACTTGACATACGATCCGAACAAATATATCATAATGTCATAATATTTTATATATTTTGTGAACAAATATTTTGTAATACATTTTCATAAAATTAATAATTACAAATTAACATATTTCCACACATATTTAAAATAAACTATGTGATATTTGTTCATAAAAATCAACCTATACTAAATCAGATATTAGACTTTTTAATCAGAAACTTGAATCGTTTCAGATGGAATAATAATAGCAATTTTCGATTGGATTATACTGTGATAGATTCTCAGAATTTATCAATATTGACTGAACCCGATAACCTTAAAACCCTCATCAATACATCTAATTTCAATCCTATTTTGGTGAATGCGTAATGCAAAATGTTAAGTGAAATAATTACTTTGAAACATCGCATTTTAAGATTATATAGTATATAAGTTAGAATGTGATTTTCAGAACAAGATCTTATAATTACTTTAATGCTACAAAATACGAATGCCACAAATTTCGCACACTTTCTTAAAACGTCTCATTCGACATGTTTTCAAACTAATATTAAGAAGTAATCTAATTATATAACAATATGTTTAATAGCAGTTCTATTGTATGGAAGCTATGTAATGTACATTTCGTCAAGTGTATCTGATAAATCATATTGAAAATGAATATTCGTACTTTTTTTCATAAAAACTGAAATTTTCATCTTGTATGCAACATGAATGTTAAACCGTTTAAAAATTTGAAGTGTCACGGCAAATCGTCCTGAAAGATACCTTTGTTAGCGGTCCTATGAAGTATTACATTCGTGGTAATAATTCTATTAGCTTTTTATTCAAAAATAAAAAATCTAAAAACTTCAAGTAATGAGAGTTATGCAATATTTCTAATTCCGCGCTTAGAGTACGAGATATTTATATATGTATTGATGCAATTTAATACGAATGAAATATCGGTCTTCTTAATCAGAAACTGGAATCTCCAGATGCGACATATGATACGCGTATCAATTTACAATTGCATTATATTATAATATATAAATGATCGAGACAAAAATTTATTACGATTCAGAATGTTCCGATGTTCGATGAATTTGATTAATACAATAACAATTTAACAACCAAATAAAACGTCCATTACAGAATATGTATTGTAAATAAATTTTCAGTCAATTAATGTGGTAGTCAAATGATAAGAAATAATAATTTTTTGACCCTTGTATTTGTTAAATTAACAGTGTTCAATTATGTTCAATTATTTTCACATTTTTTATAGTTTAATGGCTTTTGGACACATCTGTTATTTTCATTTCGCATAGCAATCAGAATTTGGAGTTTTATAATCTATTGTGCTGATCATTGTTTTCTTACTAATGGCAACTTGGAAACTTAATAGTCATATTCTATTTTGAATATATTTTTACGAGGAGGAAACTCAATGGTTATTCTTTTAGAATTTGATGATGTTTGAACTTTCCGCAACAGTGCGTGGAAGAGCTGCCTTCACTTAAAAACTATTCATGATCTATGTTTTTAATTTATGATGGGTATCAATACTGCTTGGTAGTAGGATCTACGCAATGTGGCAATTGAACCTGCATTTGTTGTAGCTTTAACATGAACGCCACTTACGAGCCATCTTAAAAGTTAAATCATAATTTTTATAGGACTCGCCCGTAAGTAAGCGGTTAAGAGCAACTGGACTTCTTTCAGAGGTCCCGGGTTCGATACCCACTTCGAGCAGCCTGTTGTCAGGTAGCAGGGACAACGATTTTCTCTTCAAAATATAGATAGCAATATGTTTCCAAGTGAAAATAGCCCTCACCCGGCATTGCTGCTCCAATTAAATGTCAGAGCTATTAGATTAATTCTAATAACAAAAAAATCATTATATGGATGGATTAACCATTGGGTTACCATCTAAAAAATACGAAGTAAGGAGAAGTTTCAGCCCAACAGCTCATAGGACATAGGGTTCTGATTGCTGTTCAAAAAATAATATACATATATAAAATAATATACATATATAAAATAATATACATATATAAAAAAAATAATAATAATTTTTATAGATACAATAATTTTATAGATATTACTAACAAAGGTTAATTTTAAGTTCAAAACGTT